CAGTGTCGGGTCAGAAAAAAAGGTACAATAACGAGTGTTGGCTTAGCTGAGAAGACCCTCGTCTTGTTTTTAATAACCTGCTAAATAAACGCCTTGTCTGTGTTCTCACACCCTAGAACTCAGATCCACTCCAGAGCTCGCTTTCATTGGCATCCACATTTGGCCGTGTGTTTACACCTCTACCCATCAGATCAGTAGCTTTTTCTTGAATAGGACATCTGCATTACATTCCAAATGAGCATTTTGAATGTTTGGATGAGACAGTGACACTGACTTGGTGTTTGTTCTGACTACAGTTTGTCCAGACCAATTAATCCAACATCAGGTGGTTTTATGCTGATTTAGGATTATGTAGTTAATGTGAATGGGTGGGGCATGGGGAGTGGTAAAGTCTCTGTCCTGTCTTTCAGCTGCACAGTGTCTTGGTATGGCCCGCAGTTGTCTAGCTGGATACTGTGGAGGGCAGGACAGAGAGTGGGTGGCTGTCTAAAGTTTGTAATTACAATACTCCTCCTGTTAGTTCCTAAGAAGGCCACTTCCATTTCCTTCCACCTCCAGTTTCCTGGATGCTTATCTGTCATGGGATAAATTCCAAAGTGTACATTAGTGTTTTTGTCCTTTGTTCTCCTGTGATCACACTTGATTGCCTTTGCCTTTCGAGTGGCCCTTTTATGCTCTATTGCATGGACTTATAATGAGATGTCTGTGTTCTGTTAACATCAAATATGCACTGTTCATGTGTTTTGTTTGGAGCTGCGCCTGTTCAGTTTTGTGTGATTGGCTGTATATGATTGAAATATTACCTCATAAGCTTGCTGTATTGAACATTTTTAGTAAGGCTGCAAATATTTGTACAGTTGACTGTGGTGGTGACTATTTCTGTTGTGTATTGTACACTATCACGGAATGAAGGTTATAATGAAACGATTGCAATACTTTTCACAATTTGGAAAAAGCCTGGTCCACTTTATATATTATTCTGCTCAAAGACATAATTAAACTGGCATGAGCCCTGCAATGGACTATCCATCCATTCGGGGTGTTTTCCCTCCTTTTGTCTGAGATGCTGGGATTGGCTTCAGCATCCCCCAACTTAAGAAGATAAATGTCATAAGATCCACAGGTAGAAAACTGGGAGAACAATTAAACCATGCTTAATCAGTGTGTCTTTCTCTATCTCTGTCTGTAATGAATAATAGTCCATCAAGCAGTTACAGGGGCATTGCTCTGACTGGTCAATTACTCATCTTTGTCTAGCTAAGTACAGGCAAATGCAAGGGTTAATATAATTCTAGCAGCTATTACGAATAGAGGCTAACATGGTTACAGTGAGAGCTCAGAAAGGACTCACAATTTTTTTTTTTGTAGTCATCATAAAATGTCCTTGTGTAATTACGATGCAGTCTAAGGCCAAGACTACAGGATTTACGATGTCAGACTGAAGATGTAGAGTCAAAGGTTAAAATGCTGATTTACTAAGGCTGTGAATTCTGTATAAAGTCTTAGCTTTTTTAGGTCAGGCCTGTGAGGATCTCATCATGCTAATATTCCCTCCAAATCAGTGTTTGAGAATGTGTTTTTGCAAATTCTTTGGAACCGCAGAGAATAACATGCTGACGTTCTGAGGGGTGGGTGTCAAACTGATACTGTAACTCTGAGGTCAAAATGCAGTTGAATGCTTTTTGGATTCTTCATATATAGAGCGTGTGAGAATGAGACTGGAGGATGCTGTAAAATTCCAGCAGAACAGAAGAAGGTACCACAGCAGAGAAGACTGTTGATGGAAATGAAGAGAAAAAGAGAGCAGGGTTCAGGGCGAGACTGAGGGCGTGAGAATGAACGACTAAAATAAAAAAGAGGGTAATGGAGAAAAGGGGAGAAAATTTGGGAAGGGAATTCACAAGAGAGAGAAAAAGAAAGGCGAGAAAGATAGGGTGTGCATTCATCTGTGAGATGAGATATCTGTCCAGTGATGACTTGACGTAGCCCAGCTCGGACTCTGATGTCCCAGGGCTAAACTATAATATGTATGTGCGTGTGTGCTGAATGGGTGGTGTCCACTCCTGGTTGTGGAGAATGAATGGATCTGGCAGACATTACCAGCCAACCTCTGAGCTGACCAGACATTCTCCCAGGGCACGGGCAAGTCAGTTTGATATTTGTTGCTTAAAAAATAACCCAATAACTTCAAACATACACACACGCACCATCTTACAGACCTCTTACTCGGCTCGGCACGGCTCAGTACGGCACAGCGCGGTTCAGTTCAGTACTGCTTTAGAGTGGGCGGGATTATTCACATGTCGTTATAGTTGCGCCGCCTCTACTACCACGACTCCTAAAAAAACCCGTCGCCCCATCAAGCTCTCTCTGGATCCGCTCCTCTGCTATCAACGAGAGGAACGTCTGTTCTTCCGCAACAGACAACAAAACGTTTTGGTTGTTAAAAAAAGGTGCGCTCGTTCAAAACAGTTGAGTTCGATCCTTCGCTGGCTGTGCTGATTTAAATCTAGCGGTTCTTTTGTGTTTGTGTCGCAAGTTCAGTGATGCAGGTAGTGACGATTCTCATCCGTGATCAGCAGGGTTTACACGTCACGTTTTGGTAACGGTACGGTTCGCTTGGAACCCCAACCGAGGTGGTACTAAAAAAAGTACCAGGTACCAGGTACTGTACCCAGTGGAAAAAACCCCAAAAGT